CCAAAATATGCTCAACATTCAACTTCCAAATTTAGAGAGTTGAGAATGTTTTGGATGATGTGTATAGTCGACTCTCTTTAATAAGAGTCAATTCTTCTTGGTAAAGAGTTGACTCTTAACTTAAAAAGTCGACAATTAGTAAAAAATTGCGATAACTTTATATGAAATATCTATGTAATCTCATATGCATGTCCACATATTTTTTTAGATAAAATAGAGTTTTAAATTAGTTAAATATATTAGTAAATAATGTAATTATATTAATTAATGTGTTAAATGTTAAATAAAATTTAATAGATTAAACAAAACCAACTAATAAATTAAATTTTAGATATAAAAATAAATTATTTAAAGATTAAGAATTTATTAAAATATAATAATTTTAATTATTAAGTAGTGTGGCAAGAGAGTGGTGATTTTGAGTTTTAGCAATATGATATAGGTTGCTTATGAGTGGTGGATTTGAAATTCAAATAAATTTTAGTAACATGAAATACATTGATACAAGATTTGAAATATGTTGCTAATAAGTTAATAAACTTTCAATAATATGTACTATGTTGCTAAATGTTTTATATATACCCCCACCCCCATCGATCTCCCATGTGTTCTGCATGCAATTTTCTTTTTTTTTTTTTGCTACTGCGCAGTTCTATGTTGCCACTGCACAGTTCTCCTCCCATGCTTCTCCTGCTCAATTCCCTTTCCTGGTCCATCTCTTTCTGCAGTTCTCCTCCACATGCTTCTCCTGCACGCCTACTGCAAATCTCCCAGCCTTTTTTTTTTTTTTCTTCTTGTAGCACATGTATGTCCTTCATATATTTGATCACTCATTTTTATCCATTATCTAATATGTTAATTGTACTTATTCTTTGTTATCATTAAATTCTCATATATATCACTAATTGAATAAATTCCATCAGTTTTCAAATATTTTTATAAATATTACATTATATCAATTTATTTGAAAGTTAATATATTTATAAACAATTATATATAGTAACTTACAATTTTTTTTATTTTGTTTGTTTTGAAGGTAATTCTTAAAAAAGTAAAAATGTCAAATTTAGTAAGATATCTCATTTAATAATATAGAATTAATAAGTATTTATGTTATATGTGAAATATCAAAAGATTTAATATTTGATGATTATAAAAAAAATTAAATTTCATATTTAAATAATGTAATAATAATATTATAAAATTAATATAATATATTTATTATCATATAAGTGAAAAAGAAAATATATGTAGAATATCGATAGGTATAATTTTTTTTATTAGATATTTTGATGCATTACCGACAAAGGGTACATTGTTGAAAATCCTATTGGTACAATTATAATAAATATTAGTAATAAAAACTATGTTGCTAAAAATAGGTTGATTGACTATTCACTTTAATTTTCAACAACAAGGTGCTATCAGCAACACAGTTGTTGTTGCTAAAAAGTGGGGCACATGCACTCCCCTTAATTCTTAGCAACACAAGTCATGTTGTTGAAAATATGCTTTCGGCAACATGACTTATGTTGCTGAAAATTGGGCAAGTTTTGGTGACTAGACTTGGGTCACCAGTTTACCACCAAATTTAAGCAACATAAGCCACGTTGTTAAAATCATATTTTCAGCAACATAGCTCACATTGTTGAAAATGAACCGGAATCCTCCACTGGATTCCAGTCATTATTTTCACCAACAGTAGGGATGTTGTTGAAACTATATTTTCAACAACATAGTCTTTGTTGCTGATACATCAGCAACTAAATGCTTGTTAGTAATGTATTACCCACAAAAACATTTCTAACAAAACTTTTAGTAACAAAAGATATGCTGTTAAAAGGCTTTTAGCAATATAAAAAGGACTTTCAGCAACATGCTTTCATGTTGCTGAAAACCTAAATTTTAGTAGTGGATTAGTGAGTTTGGGCTGTCTATTAACCAAGACCCTCTAAATCCAAAGATTCTTGGTGACAAAAGTGTGGATAATAGTGGACCGAAGGAGACAAAAAATTATGTTTCAAATGAGATTCTACTTAGAGAGAGAAACTGTACTAGTAAGGAAAAATCAGTAAAGCAATTGGAGTTGACTTTGATTGAAAACAACCATAATGAAAAAGAACATAAAGGTCCAAATAAGAAAGTACAACCCCATAATAATTTTGATCTGTTAGAAAGGTGGCCAAATGTTAACTTAAAGTCAGTAATTGGATTTTGGAATACAATAAGAGTTAAAAAAACAGATACGAATAGTGAAAACTTATTCACATGACTAGTTATTCACGTAATCAGCAGTATATGGGTCAATAAGACAATAACATGTGACATTAGTGTTATAAATGAAGTTATAAATACTCATTTCTTACTTCCATTAAAAATAATAACTCCACTATTACGCTTTTTTCTCTGTAATATTTAGTTTTTCGAAAGTT